AATAAGACTACTGTTATTATATGTATCGCTTATATTTTGTATGTTATTTCTAATTAGTTCAGTCTGTGTTGATTTTTCTTTGTTGTGTCTATATACTCGAGGTGTTAAGAACTGTCTCTGGTCTAAATGTTCTGAGAGAATATATTCTCTTTGTTCTACTTCTACAAATGCTCCTTTGGTAATTAATAAAGTATTTACGCTGAATAATGTTTTGTGTAGTATTCATCCTATTGGGTTTGGAATATAGTTGTCATTGGTTTAAGAGTGTCATCAAAGTGATTGCAAATTTCCTTCAATATTGATTCAAAGTAACTATAATAGTCTGATATTTGTAATGCAATTTTTTTTTGCTATAATACTGATTTTCTGGAGAAAGATCTTGGTACTCTTTCTGGTTGCATAACATAGTCAGCTGCTTTGGCTACTGCTTGTAATAATACTATTACTAGTTCCAATCTATAGTTATTAGTGGGGTTAATTCTATTTATTAATGTTTCTAATATTGCTTGAATGTCTAACTTTATGTCGTGTGTTTGTTGTTACACAAGTATATCTTCTATATTAAATAATTTCTTTTTATAATACTCATCTGATGAGTAAGGTATATTTAATTGGTCTGGGTCCCATTGATAATTAAATCGTCTATAAGATATTTGTTTTTCAGTCATTATATTCTAATATTTGGTGGCGATTCTAAAAATACTGGTGGGTCTGTATTGAAAGATCTTCTATTGTATCCTTTTTGAATATAATGTAATTCATATATTATATTTCTGTATATTTAAAGAATTGCACTTGGTGGTGGCTTTATAGTTGTAATATAATTTAGTGCTTCTTGTATAAGACTTGCTTGTTTTATCAAATTAATGTTGTGCTAGTATATTCTAATTGTTTCCATGTTTTCAAATTGTGTTTTTATCGCTGGGTCAAGATATTCAGTCAATATGTATTTTAGTTTTTCTTTAACTTTTTCTTTGTTATATAATAGTTTACTGAATTCGTATTCACTTCGTAAATATACTAGGTATTTAAGGTCTTTTTCTAGATCCATTAATTGCTTCTATTTGTTTAAATATTTCTTCTAAATATTTCTTCAATTCTGGTGTAATTAATAATTGTTCTGTTTCTTCTTTAGTATAGAACTTCCAGATTGTGTGGTTTTCTGGTTCGAGGGTTTGTGGATACTGTATCTCATTTTTATAGATAAATGTCTTTACTTTAATATTCTTTTTTGAGTAGTAACTGTGTATTACTTCTGTTAACTTATTGCAAGGTATTTGTATTCCTGTTTCTTCAAATGTTTCTCTTATAGCTATTATTTAAATAATTCGAGGTAAGCAGTTTGTTTTCCTCTTGGTGGTCCATAGTGTTGGTAGTATACTTTCTTTGGATGTATTCTCTGTGCTAATAATATTGCTGAGTCTTTGTCAAATATTACTACTTGTGATATTTTCATTATCTTCACTTAGGTCTTCTTGTTTCTTTTTATGGTACAATATCTCTTAATGTTATTCTTTCCTGTATTGGTATTATTTTTTCTAATTTTCTAATTTGTCTTTCAGTATCAGGATGTATGGTAAAAGTTTAAGATATTTGTATTCTCTGCGTAGATAAATTAAATATGCTTCTCTATCACTTATTTGGTAGTTCATTAATAGTATTTGTTGTCTAATTTGTCATCATACTTTAATTCTACTACGTTGTTATATATAATTGGTGTAGTTCTAGTAATATCATATATTGTGTGTTTTAGAGCTGTTATATAATAATTTAAGGCTTGGAAAGCTTTAAGTCTACTATCTTCATATCTTGTTAACCAATTCTTAATTCTATTTTTTTTTCTGATCAGATCAATAGTATATTCGTATTTAAATAGATTGTCGATGTTTAATTCTTCACATGATTTTTTTTATATTTTCTTTTTGTAGGTCAACTAAAATATTAATTACTTCATTTTGTAGGTATTTGATTTTCTTAAGAATTTCTTCAGTATTATATTCTTCTTTAGATTTAGTTTTATATAATTTGTACTCTTCTTTTAAATATTCAATTTGTAGGTCTTCTATCTGTTGAGTGGATAATAATTATTGGATAATAATTATTGGTCGTTGAGTGCTTGATATTGCTTGAATTGCTTGTATAGTTACTCTCAGTTTTCAATTACTACTTTTTAGGTTTGTGAGTCTATTTTGATAGTTCCAAATAGTGCTTCTGTAGTTTGGTTAAATTGAGTTTGTGCTGAATAAAGTTGTACTCTTGATTGGCTTATTTCAACTTTATATGCTATCAAAAGACTTGTCAATTATTCTATTTCAGAAGTATTTTGTCTTAACACTAATGGTACTTTTTGTAGTAATATGTTGTTGTTCTTCCACTTAGTAAGGTCTTGTAATAATTGCTCAAACTTAGTTTTGATAATCCAGATAAATGTAAAATAATCTGCTATTAGTTCTACTTGGTTGGTCATTAAGAGTTCTGATAGGTATCGTTTAAGTGTTGTACTAGATTGTATATTGCACTAAAGTTTTCTTGTGATAAGTAACCAATTTTCAAGATTAAATTCTTAATGTCTTGGTTAATATAGGTCAAGTTAGATAAATCTCTTTTCTTTTGATTAAAGAGCTTTCAGAGATTCCTTATTCTATTGAGCGTAGGGTGATAATATATTTCTGAAAATAAAGCTTCGGTATATAATAAAAGGTCTTTTATTTTCTGTTGTTCTGAACTTGTTATGCTTGATAATTCTTAATCTATTTTGTACGAGTATTGGTCTATTATATCATTTACTATTCTTTGGTTTCTTGGGTTTCTTATATTTCGAGTCATTCATTGTTTAATATTTGATTAAGGTCAACTTGTTGTCTTTTTATAAACTTCGGTAGTGTATAAATAATTACAATAGTTATTTAATTAATTGTTCTATTTTATTCTTAAATATTCCTTGACATGAATTCTGCATATTCCTATTGGAATTTGTCATTCATAGGTGTAGTCATTATTTCTGTAAAAAGTTCATTCTTAGTTCGCACATGAGTTGCTCGTAAGTTTTTCATATATCTTAACCGTGTTTGGTAATAGTCTTTTTGTAAATCACTTATTTTCCTTTTTAATTCTTTGTTTTCTAGTTCAAGATCTTCAATGTGTTGGTTATGCTTATTTACTGTTTCTGCAAGTTGTTGTACAGTTTTTTTGAGGTAGTTTATCTATTGATCTTTGGTTTGTATAGCATTATTTTTTTGAGGTATTTCAGATTTTCTTTGTAATGCTTCAATATGGTACTTATGATCTACAAGTACTTCACTTACTACTTTCATTTGTTTCTTTTGTCTGCTTATTTGGCCGTACATGTGGTTTATCGTTTTCCAAATTTCTTTATGTTCTTCTTCTGCTTCAGATCCACTAAATCTATTAAATTCTTCTGTATCACTATTATTGTCTTTTATAGTAATTACTTTGGGGTTATATTTTAGTAGTTTACCACTTTTGTTGGTTTAGGGTTATGGATTTCAGGTTGCAATAATTAGGGCAGTACCCATGTGTTAAGTCTTCTTTAGGGTTTAAATCCTTACAGTTATAGCAGTAACCACAATCCTTACACATTCTATCGATTATTTCTTTACCGGTTCTTGGTAATAAACAACTTTTACAAATTGCTTCTAAGAGTTTTGGGTACATCTTAATATACTTATTTGCTACTGCTACTTGTTGAAAGTTTTCCTTAGTATATTTTTTAGATTGAATTATGTCTAAGTTTTCTGATTAGATTATATCTGCTTCGGTTATTTGGTATTCTGGTAAAGGATCATCTAGATGAAATCCTCTTACAGCTGGTTCTATAGTTAAGATATCATTATCATGTTCTTCGGAGTCATTTCAGATATCATCTACATATAATGCTATCAGATGAGCATTTATGTAATCCTTATAGTACATTGTTCTGTTAGTTGGTTCAATATCTTGTGATACTTGGTAAGCTTGAACTAATCGTTTGATCATTGATTTATTTATGATGTATCCAGAGTATCTAGGTGGTCTTCTAGTTCGATGTCTTATCCTAATAAGTCTGTCATAATTAGGATTTCTTGCTAATTCGGTTGCTACCATATGAGCTATTAGCTCTTCATCATTACAAAAGAAGTAACTAGTTTGCGGTAGATAGTATGCTTTTTGAGTTATCACAGGCTTACAACAAAAGCGACATTCTGTTAATTTCTCTTGCTTATCAAAGAAAGCAGTTGCTTCCTTATAGTTGTAGTCAACAGAAAATTGTTGCTCATAGTAGCTTAAGTGACAATTCTTACATACTAAAATGTTATCAAAGTATTTAATATTTGTCTTATGTTGTATATAGAGTGATACTTTACTTAAAAGGTAAAGTTCGGTGTAGCCACAAATCTTAAGGCATTTACAACAATAATAAGTATTCCTATTATTATACTTTCTTTTATTTTCTGCAAAATATTCTTGGATTTTTAGTTGTATTTTAGTTGGATTACATTTGCAGTCTTTCACTTGTTGTTGCTTAAGAAGCTTGATCTCGATACAATCTTCTTTTCTTATATGGTTGGTAGATCTGCAATAGGTACAGTATCCATCATTAGTGAGGTCAATAATATAGTTAGTACAGTGTTTTGCCACATGATCTTTTTCTTTACAAAGTCTACAGGTAATATAAGTGCATTTATTTTCTACTTGTTTTTTTCCTTACAGTTGTTACAAATAATATGGCTATAATCTTTTTCTTTATTTTTAGGGCACGAACTAGCAAAGTGTCCAGCCTAGTTACACTTAAAGCAGTGCACATGATGCATTAACTTTGCTGCAGATGACCTTTTATCTTCGGTAAATCTTCTCTTCTGACTTGGATTAAATAGGTGATTCTTACAATCATGGTTAGGTTCTTTTTCGTATCTACAATTGTTACAACAATTTTTAGAAATTCTTGGTTTAGGACTTTCTCTTTCAGCATCACTGAACCAATCAAATCCTTTGGCAGTTACTTTGCAGTTATGGTTTGGTGATGTTTTATACTCGTTACAATTAAGGCAATAATTAGGTCCTTCTTGGATCCAGGTGTCATTATTACTTTGTTTGGAATTTATATTTTCTTTTGTTAAGGGGTAGTTGTCTTCAGATCTTTACTTGTTATAGTACTTCAGTTTTGTTAAGCTAAGATGATTATTCTTTTGCTCTTTAAATAGGTTTTCTTTGTGGTAGCTAGTAAAACTTTTGAGTAAGCTTTAGCTTTTCTTGGTTCATATTAATTATTATATATCCTGTTTTATCCTTTAATTGTTTTATCATTTCATTTGTAGATCAATCACGTTATTGATCTTTATTGCTGATTGTTACTTTTTCTGTTAATCATAAACATTCCAAGAATGCTTCAAAGAGGTTATCCTTATTTTGGCGTCTCAATATGAATTCTAATAGACACTCGGGCAAGAACTTGTGATTCTGATATTTTGCTTGTATTTGACTTTTTAGAACTCACCATGTTGCCTCTATGTGGTTAGTATGATATACTATAACATTTCCAGTTCTTGGATCTATTTCTCAAACTGCTATTCCTTGGCTGTAATTGATAGCATAGTGCTCTATTCCTAACCAGTCATAAATATTCTGGTATCTAGCCCACATGTCAGAGTAGATAAGTGATTCTGAATGTATATGGTTAGCTATTTGTCTTAATAATACATCCTGTGATCTGTTTTCTACGATCATTGCAAATATGCACTTTTTAGGTGTTCTTTTTACTTCTCCAAAGACCCATATGTCTTGGTGTATTTTGGTTACTTCTTCTGTTTCAGGATTCTGTTCCCTTCGGTGTTTGATTCCAAATCTAAATTTATCTACTTCTACTATTATATCTTTTTCTCCGATTTGTTTTTCATTTTCTTGTAGATTAAGACTTACTAGCTCTCGATAAATATTCATTCATCTTGTAACTATTCTTGGTGCTAACCCTATAACAGGTACAATGGTCTCATATTTTGCTTTGGCTAACCAAAAGTAGCCTATTTTAAATATTTGATTAACTTGTATTCGCAATCCTACAAATATCGTGTTATTGAAGATGGACACGGTCTTTCAGCACTCCTTCTTGTTGGTGCATCCAAACAGATTTGTTTTATTCTCAAAACGTGTTTCTTTCTGACAATTCATACATTTGACTTGTTGTAGCAATATTTTCTTATCTTGTAAGTATGCAATCATACTTTGTTCACTTTTTAGATGTTCATACAATTCGTCATATAGTGGTATCCCATGAGTCATCTTTATTCTTTTGGGTTGATTACTTTCTTGTAACAGTATATGGTTCTGTTTTTTTTTCTATTGGCTCAGTGTTGTTTCAGTTTTTCCATAAATTTTACTTATAAAAATAGTATGCTTTTGGTAGTCATTATATATCTAATTTCTTGTCTATCGAGCTATCAATTCTTCGGTAATTTTCTACTGGTCTGTCACGTATGTCAGTCGGAGTAGTTAGATTTCTAACTACTCGGTTTGGCATACATCTAGTCGAGTTATTTCTTGGGTTCAACTGTTATTACATTACCATTTTTCATAGCAACTTGCTTATTTTTTGTTGGTTTCCCTGTTGCATATGATATATAATCTGCTATCTTATTCTTCGATCCAGGTATTCGTTCTAAAGTGTAATTCATGTCTTGTAGCTCTAAAAGCCATCTTGTTACTGTTACATCTTTGCAACCTTTTGCTATTGTTGTTAATATAGCATTATCTGTTCGTACAATTACATGTCTATTGCCTATGTATGGTTTCCATAATTTTAGTGATTCATAAATTGTATACATTTCTTTTTGTGTACTTCTCCAATTCTGTTGGGTTGCAGTTAATGTTTTAGAGAAGAATTCTATAACTCTTCTTTGCTTTGTGTCTAATGGTCTGTGTGACTATTCTTTTGTTCCTTCTGAATTGTCTTATAATGTTTAGTTCTGGATTAACCTGCTTCAGTACTGCTCCAATACTGTTATCAGATGCGTTAACTAATATGCTTCTAGTATTTTCTTTTTAATAAGATCGAATGTATTTTAATACTCTTTTGTCTACTTAAATGCTATTGTTTTCTTTAACAAATTGTTAATTGGTTCTGCTATTGTTGAGAAGTTTTCTACAAACCTTCTAAAATAATTAGTCATGCCATTAAATGATCTAACTTCTTTAACATTTGTGGGTGGTTGTAGTTTTTCTACTTCTTTTAGCTTTTTATCATTAGGATGGATCTTGCCTTGTTCAACTTGATGATTCAAAATAGTAGTTTTTGTTACTCCAAATTCACATTTTTTGAGATTCATGATCATGCCCTCTTCTTTTATACACTTGAATACCGCTTTAAGTTTTTCTACCATTTCTGGTACTGTATTTGCTAAAATTATACAATCATCTATATATACTACTATATATAGCATGTCTTTAAATAATTCAAATATGTATCTCATCATATATACTGGGGCTGTTTTTAATTCTATAGGCATTACTATAAATCTGTATTTTCTGATGCCTAGAAAAAACATGTTGTTTTGTCTCTTTCCTGTTCTTCTACAGGAAATTGGTAATATACAGCCTTAAAATCTATAGTACTATAGTACTTATAAGCTGCTACTTTATACAAAAAGGTGGGTATATAATGTATTTTGAAGCTGTCATCTTCAAGGTGTTTATTAAGTCCTCTGTAATCTATTACACACCTTTTTGATCTATCTGGTTTTGGTATTATCATTATGAGTAATACCCATGCTGCTGTAGAAGGTTCAAGGTATCCATTATCATTTAATTTCTTGAACATCTTATCTGATTGTTTTTTTCATCCTTAGACATTGGTCTAGACATCCTTTGTTGATCTTTCTTGAGTATCCCTTCCAAGATAGATTTTTCTTTTAGTTTAAATCGTATAGGCATATTAAATCGTTTAGAGTTAAACGTTGTAGCTTTTTCTTCTTTTAGTCAAAAAACATCCTTGTAATATTTTTTGAATATAGATTCTAAAAGATTTCTATATTCTGGGTTTGTCTTTTCAAATAAAAGTTTTAGTCTTTCTTCAGGTTTCATTTTGTCATCATCATCATCTTCTGGATTTATTACTTTTGCAAATCCATATATCTCTTTTATTACTTCTAAGTTAGCTATGTGGTATTCTTTAGATATCATATAGCTCTCATGTGTCTAGTTAAACTATTGTATTGTTTTTACAGTTTTATCTATATATCCATTTTGGATCATAATTCTATTTTGGACAACATGTAGTAGTGTAACTATATGCCCTTCATTTGATATTATTTGTATAGCTGTAAAAGTATAAGGCTGCAATTTTATACTTTTTACAGTATACATGAGTATTTCTGTACCTATAGTTAGTAATATTCGCCTTCTGATTTCATTAGACACATGACCTAATTTTTTATATAATCTTAGGTTATATATATTTTTTTTTTTAGGTTTCCAATATGACTGTTCCAGATTCATTATTTCATCTTGGTAACCATACTGATTACCTCTTGGTTTCATTGGTGGGGTAGTTCCTATATTGGCTTTAGATATAGATTGTTCTGCACTTTTTGTGGAGCTGGAGCTACTACTTGAGTTACCTGTTTGTGGGTCATATGCTGATTCTATAGATAGAGGCAATACTGGTGGTTCTATCATAGTTGCCTGTTCTTGTATAGCTACATGTGTTGGCATGTGTACTCTCCTATTTTCCATTGAAGTTACTCAGTTTCGATAGAAACTAGAGTTATTTTGTTGATCCTGGGCAGTTGTTTGTTTTACTGCATTATCTTTTACCACTCTCTTAACTAGAGGTTGTTCTTTCTTTTCGTTGTTTCCCTATCGAGTTACATACGAGTTAAACCATCCTTTCCATGCTTGTACTGTAGGTGGTTCTAGCATTTTCAATATTTCTATGTTATGCATAGTTATTTCTTGTCCTTGTTACTTGGTTCTCCAGTAATTGGCAAAGTTTGTGTGGGATTTTTGAGATCTCTATTTTCTAGAATTTGCTTCATAAATTTGTCATGTCATTCCTGGAACATTGCATCTTCTGTGGCGGAGTTATCACTCCACGAAGAGTTTTCGCTTACACTACTTGTTGTTATTTTATATGTTTTATATTCGTTTTGTTTTTCTTTTTTGTCTTTTGGCTCTTTTTGTCTTTTCGTTATATCTAACTTTTTCTGATTAGTTGATATTTCTATTTTGGCATTTTCTTGCCACCTTTCGTTAGCTCTTTTCCTTTCTTTGTCATTTAAAGAAGTGTTGCCTATTGCTGTTAATTTAGCTTGTGTTGCTCTTTTTTAAGCTTCTGTTAGATTAATGTACTGTTCTGGCCTAATATTGAGAACATTTCCTGAGTTCTCGATGTGTCATGTCTCACTTTCATCCAGGTCTCTTGTATATATTCTTTGAGTTTCTTCATTTTGTTTGTCATACCATTGTGTTATTTCAAATAATTTTTCTTGGTATGTTTCATGTAGTTTCTTTTCTTTTAATCTCTTTGGTAGTGCCTCTATATCTTTCATATTGTCAAGATAGGTTTTTGCTTCTTGATCACTTATTTCTTTATACTTTTGGAAGTTAGAATTCATTGTTGCTATATGGTCTACGAGATTTGTTAGCATCTTAGCCACATTCTTGTCTTCTTCTTGTTCTTGCAACTTTTTTAACTTCTTGATATTAAAGCTAAGTTGATTTACATATCCTCCAAATGTTTTTGGTATTAGTGGAGGGTTTTTGCTTGAAGTTGCAAAGGGTAACTTCTGATGCTTGAGCAATGCTTCGTTAGTTTTAAATAACATTTGTTCTATTTGTTTTCTCCTCATTCTTTCTATTGTTTCTTGCTTCCGAGAGTCTTGATATCTTTCTTGTCCTTCAAGATATAAGCATTGAACTTAATCAGTTAAGCTTACTATCTCTGGTGCTTCATATCTATTTCATGCTTGAGAGATTTCTTCTTTTCCTAATTCTTATATTTTTTAAAACTCTGTTTTGAATAGCAAATCATTAGATTGGAGTGTATCATCAGGTTTGACATATTGTCATAACCTATATACTTCACATATTTGCTCTTGTTTTTGTTCTTCAGTTTTTCCTAGTGTTTTTAATATCATTGCTTTCATTTTAGGATGCGTTGCTAGCATTTTTAATATCTCTTGAGATAACTGTCCTTGTAATAATGGCGCATAAACATCTTGTTCAAAACCAAATATTGTTGCTTTTATTTTCTTCACGGATCCATCTTTTTGTTTAATTTTTCTTTCTTTTATTATTAATATGTAGAAGATGTATTTTATCTCCTTACTTATCCATGACTTGTTTGTAGTCATCTGGATATCTTCTGCTTCCTGCTGCAAAATAGTATTGTGTGTCAAAGTATAGCTTTACACGTTTTATTTTGTGTTCTTTTAGTGGTTGGTTTGGGCTTTCATATTTTACCACTTTAGTTGATAAAGTTTTGTCTATACTTCTCTTAATTTTTAAGAAATCTTCTATCTGTGCTCCATGACATTTGTTAGCTGCTGAGTTTTCTAGTAAGATCATAATGTCAGTATTTTTGGTTTGACTCAATATAGCTTCCAAATTATCTTTAATTTGTTTCCTTTGTTCTTTTTCTGATACCAGTTTTAAATCTTTGTAAGATTTTGATCCTATGTGCAATACATATACTTTGCTTTCTATTGTGTATGCACGCTATATTTCTTCAATAATTCTTTTGATTTTCCAATTAAACAGTCCATCTATCTTAGCATCTGTGATGCTTAAGCCCATAGATACGTGTATTATTATATGCAGTTTTACTTGCAATGGTGACAGCTTAGTTTGTATAAGCCTATCATTTTCTATATTTGTTATCCCTTTCTTTAGAGGTACCCAATTTTTCATCATTTCATTTTTGGCGTACAAGTTTGTTTCTCAGTACGTCATAAATGTTTGCACTATATTACTTCTTGTTCAGGTGACGGCTTCTTGGATTTCCTGCCAAGTGCTATCATACATGACTCCTATTAGATATTTTTGATTTTGATTAATTTCACATTGTTTCTTAAATAAGTTATATTGTTCTTTGTTTAGATCTACTGCATCATAATTAGGTACTTCATACGGATTATGAATGTACATTTTTCTATTTTTGGTAAACATTTTAATTTTTTAATCTTCAGGGGGTTCCTTAATAGACAGCTATCAATGTTTTAATCGATCTTTTAATTTTAATCTTAGTGGGAGAGTATATTTCTTGGTTTTGTTCTTTGAACGTTGGGTATCTTCTTCCTTTTTTCTGCCTGAATTCTTTAATTCATTTGGTTAGAGTTTTCTGACGAATCGTCTGAGCTGGAAGAATCACTTGACAAATTAGAGTCTAACTCCTCTGTGTAAATGGTTGCTTCAGACTCAGATTTTTCAGATGAATCTTCACTCCTTGGAATTTGGTCATCATTGGCCAGATGTGGGCGTACCTTGCTATATAGCTTTCTATCACTTAGTTCAGCTAAATAGGGCTAGTCATCTATTTGCTTATGGTCTAGCTGTCTTTGGTTTGTTATAGGTAGACCCCGTAAAAGAATTATCTCATCAGAGGGTCTGACAAGTATTCCCAATTGTTGTTTAGTTTTGTTTGACAATAAAATATATTTTGATTTGTTCCTAGTCATCTACTTTAATGTTTTTAAAGAAGTATTTGTCAATCGTGATATTTACAGTCACTTTTCCTATTAGAGTGATATTGTTAGATCCTACTGCTTTTGAAGTTGATTTTTTAGATTGAAAGTGGAAATACTGGTTATTTTTTTCTAAGAGTTCTAAGAGGTTCTTTCTCATTATTGTACAAGTTGATCCTTTATCAAGTTTGAATTCAACAGGTATGTTACACATTTTTCTATAAAAATAAAATCCTTTAACTTCTTTTGGGTCTAATTTGGTTTGTATTTTTTCTTTGGTCTAGTATAAAGTATTTGTGACAGAGTAATCATTTACTTCAGTCAAAGGTTTACTTATATCTTTATTTATATAAAATATTTTATTATTATATATTTGATTAAACTCTGTAATATAGCCATTGTTAGGTTGTATTGGGAGTAAGTCCTGTGTATCATGCAGGCTCCTGTTTAGAAATACTATTCTTGGGAAGTAGAAGTTTCTTCTTCAAACTCCTCTTCACTATACGGAGGTTCTTCTTTTTAGAAGTAGAACACTTCTTGATATTTTTTACATAGTTCTGAATACTTATCATATTCTTCATCTTGTTCAAAATTGTGAACTTTTTTGTTTCCAAATTTTTTGTGGAGTTTTTCAAGTAACTTGAGTTCTCGAGTTTTCTTTCAGATTTCTTCTGAGTATTTTCTGTCTTGGTTATATTCTCGCTTTCTTGGGTTGAATTGTTTTAGTATAGACGGTTTGTATCCTATGTTGTTTGGGTTGCTAAACTTGATCAGTTTATTTGATTCTTTGTACATTGGTTTGCCTTGAAAAGTCTTTCTAGTTTCTTTAAATTCTCATTTGGGCTGGTAAGTTCCTTCTTCTTTGTTAACAAAAGGTTTCGGTTCTTGTCTGGGTTTCCTATTTCTTTCATTACGAGGTTGAACTCTCTTGGTTTTCTTTCTTGTAGTTTATATTCTTTTGGTTTGTATTCTCTTTGGTTACTTTTAGCTTTGATATTTAATATTTTGATTTGGTCATTAAGTTTGCCAATGACTTTCTGGTACTTTAGTTTATCAGTTTGGATCTTTTCTCTATAACTTTGGCTTCAGTTATCTTTAGGTTTACTAGTCTATTCTGGGTATTTGGCATATCTTTTGGTGCTTGTGCAATCTTTTTGAAAGTGTCTATATCTTTCGCATTTAAAGCATAATACCTTGCTTAAATCTATGACTACTAGGTTCTTCTTGGATGAGAAGTACGCTTCTTTAATATCAGATTTGTTGCCAAATTTGGTTCGGAACTGTATTCCTATATCACTGTTATAATAGGAACTATAAATTCATTCTAATGCTTCAAAGGCTGTTTCGAATAATGTTGGTACTTCTGTGAATTATAGTTGGAAGAAGTAGTCTTCTCCTGGGTGTCTTCCCTTAGGTAGCTTTTCTTTTAGATTTGTCCAACCTCCTCCTTCAAAGGATTGGTTGATTGTGCTTCTTCTCTTATTTTATAGTATTGAGCCTTGAAAAGTTATAATTCGAATAATGTGATGTACTTTGGTGAAAATATTAGTGATCTAAATTTCTTTTGAGCATCGGCTTGTGCTTCTGCACTAATATATCTATTGTGTATAAATAATATCTATAAACATTGATGTGACAGGTCTTGCGGGTTTCTGCTTGTATATGTTGCAGTGAAGTTTTTCTGTCCTGGTTTTCAGTTGTATGACCATAGTTTATATTTAATGTTTCATTAAAGCCTCTTTTGTTTTTAATATACGTTTTGACAGATTCCTATTCATGCAAAGATG